ATAAGTATAATATACTTAACTTTTGTCAGTGTAGCTGAAAAACAAATTCCGGATAAATATAACAGTTTAGTCTTTGAATTTTACGCTATTTGTCAGAGTCTCCCATATGTTTCTTAGAGTACGACTTATACATAGGGAAAGAAAAAGATGTGGGTGACAATGGTGCCAAAATAAGGAAAGTATCACAAGTCATGAATTGATTTGGTCTCTTTCAATCAATTTCAAAAACATTCTTTGAAAAGTAGAGAAGTTTTTGTCTTTGTTTGAATCAAGTCCATTATGCTACAGACAGCAGAGCTCAAACTAAACTCCATGTAAGTAGAACAACTATCATTACTATGTGATTCACGATCAACAGTGTTCAATAACAGGTCACAGGACTGAGGAGTCGGCACTTTTATCAGTAAAATAGTGAAAACAATAACCTGTGAGCTACGCTAGCGTAAACAAAGTCACGTTATTTTTTTACATTGTTTTTCTGATGAAATTGCCGGTCCACTCCAATGTCTTTTTTTATATTCATTTCTCTCCCCCGCTTGGAATATTAGACTAACTTTCAAACTTTTAATCCGTATTTGTTTACTTTTTCACTTACGGGTCAGTCAAAAAAATATAATTTAATTCCCTTCTTATCATGCTTATGCCATGTCTTATTTACATATGCAGTGATAAATGTACAGTACTTGGCCATAAGTGAGTCAAAATTTTATTTTTTCACTATATATTTCATTAGGAAACACATTTTTCTAAAATATTCTTGCAGTGTCATTTATTGTTTCTTTTTAATGTCTAAAACACCATAAAATGCAGAATTTGTTGTAGTTTCTTCACATTATTTCAAAATAGTTTTATCTTTATGCATTACCATGAAATCACAGGTCAAGTGCAAAACAAAAATTTTAAGACTTCAATTTGTTAAGAAATCATAGTAATTTGAGGTTAGAAAATTTTGTCATGACAATATTTTATGATTTATTCTCAATAGTTTAAGTATCATTTTGTTTATCATTTAAGATAAGAAAATTTGAATAATTCTGCATGTTTCAGTGAAAAAATCATGAAAATTGAGCTAAAATTGACTTCACAACAAGTTTTTATGAAAACAGGTTTTTCAATGAAATATATAGTGTAAAAATAAAATTATGACTCACTTATGGCCAGGTACTGTATATCAATGAATTTGAAAAAAAAATTAATTAATTAAATTGTTACAAAGTTGATAAAAAATGTACATGTATTGTACTTAATTTATGTTGCAACTCCAAACAATATGTATTTTATAATTCTCACTTGATAATTACAAGCATTAAGAGAAATAATATGGGTTTTTTTACCCCACATAAAAAATTATGGGATAATAAACCCCACATTTTATTTTTAGTGAGACGTGGGTTAAAAAACCCCACGAAAAATAATATGGGTTATTTAACCCCATGGGGTGAAAAATAAACCCCATGGGGTTTTTGTGGGGTTTTTTGTGGGGTATTTTTAAGTTCATGTTTCCCCATGGGATTTTTGTTTTTGAACTCAAATATCTCAAAAACTAGCAGAAAATGTTGAATTTTTTTTTTCACAAATCAATTTGATTATAAAAACCCCACCATTTAAAAAAAACCCTAAGATGATAGCTTTAAAGGAAAAGGGTGCGCAAGTTCGGAAAAATGTCCATTCCGAAGTTGTCCGTCCCACTGTTTATACTGATGCATAAGATGAAATGGGCCGCAAACGCTCCACATGTTGCTCGTCTACGATGTGCATCTATGTCACGTAATAATACAGAAGAGGATGAACATCTCAATTCATGTCAAAAAATTATTGCTCTGTCATTTACACATGTAGCAAACTGAAAACAAAATTTAGTTCTTAGTTTAGTTTTTATTAAAATTTCAAGTACACATTTACCATGATTTTATGGAACGTCGCAATAGTTTTTTTGTGCACTATACACTCCCAAACTGATAAAACCTGATATCCCCCACCCCCAAAAAAGGGGGGAATGCATTTCTTACAATAATTTTGACACAATAAAAATGTTTTTGATTATTTGTTCATAAATTTGTTGCGTGCTTACAATAAGTATTTATTGTAACAAGAAAGACGCCTTATTTTCTACTGTGTACCTTCTATCTCGGCCACAAACAGATCGACTGCTGTTGTTGCGCAGCTGATAAAGAGATAAACCACGCCCCTTTGATTCTATATTTGGTTTATATGAGGTACTTAGTATAAAAACTCACTTAGGGTAAAAAATAATTTGTTATTTACAAGTATAAATCAGGGACGAAATATCTTTTTTGAAAGTGAAAATAAAAGGGAAATGGGAAACCAGGGGGTAAAAAAAAATGAAAATCCCATTTCGTATGTGTGTGTATCGGGCTGGGTGGGTCAATGGTAGTTATGTTTGCTAAAAAAAAGTGTGACTGCCCCCTTCCACACTAATACTATGTGCCTGAAAATAATAGAGATATTTTGAATCATAAAATAATATATTTACTTATTTAATTCGAACGAAGGAAAAAAATATACATACAAAAGAACATTAACAAATATTTAATTTTGTTAAAATTTTGTAATGACAAGTATAACATTAAAACTGTATTCCGAAGAAAAACAGACGAGATAAATACGCCAGGTTTAAAAGAAAAATATATCAAAGAAGAGGGAAAATGTCATGCTTATTGGACATCTCATTATGTGGCCCTTTCCATATTAACACTTGTCAAAGATTACACGAATCTCTGTAGATAATGACTGTCCATGTTGACTAGAATAATGCCGATCGATCAAACGCTCGAATAACCGCCGGGTAGTTACCCGACCTCGCTCTTATTCTGTAAAACACCTGCCGCCGGCGGAAAAAGCCATTTGACCACTGTGAATCAAATTACGGTATGACCACTGTGTTGCCATTGTAAAGTATAATATTATTTATCTTTCTCTAATTGGCTCCGGATTGTCGCTACAGGGATCTTTTTTTTGCCTGTATATTACGATTTTTGTGACGACATGGCGGCTAGAAAATGAAATGTAATAAGAAATATTAAAAAAAAATGATAATCAATACAATAAATAATTGGTTTCCCCTTTTAGTTTTGTTATTTATTTCTTGATTTTTTTTTTCTCGGATTTTCTCAAATAACATTGGTATCCGATTATTTTTACTAAGCAAATCCTAAGCTTCTATGTGCTATTGGATACCGCCTCACGTTTTTATTTTATATACCTATATATTTAAAGATTGTTTTGCATCAAAAGACGCATTTGCTTTAAGTTTAATACAATGTGATATCAATTGAATCCTTGAAGTAAAGGATAAATAATTTTATAGGTTCTAAAAGCAATGTAAACACGTACTGTGATATTTGAACGTCTAAACACGTGTTATTATTATATTATGGGTTAAAAAATCATTTCCAAAACAAGTAAACAAATGCCTGTGGTTATCATACACGGTGAAAGATTCTCACTTGATTTGCTTTTCGGATTTCAATATCTATTACCTATCACAAACGTCCAATGCCACTTTTCGATGCGACAAACTTTGAATACCCTGACTACAAACCGATATTAAATGTACATCTCTCATCTCTCAAATCTTTTCGGGCATTTACAAACAATTACTCTGGATGCATTTTATTTTTCTGTAGCCCATAAGACCGCGGTCTTATAAAACTTTCTGTGCCAATCATTGGATCATTGGACATGCCAGGGGGGAACTGTAAAGAATGTAAGAAAACGACCCCTCCCCTTTTTGACGTCATTACTTAGTCCTCTTCGTGCTTTGAGCACATAAGGCCTGATTTCTGACGTCATTACAACGCATTAATTGATATTAAGATGTTTCATATCAAATTTACCATGAAATAATATAAAACCTACAGAATTCTGTAAAAATTCCATATTCTACGGGACAAATGTGTCATGCCACGTGAGTGAAAATAACGGGATTTTTGAATGACCAATGCTCATATCAAAATAGGTTTTACACAGTTACAATTAGGCAGGAAAATGTCATCTTTGAGTTTGCGCTTCCTGGACGTATCATTGTTTACAATTATAAATAATTTATCCAAAAAAAAAAACAAGATGTGTTTGTGAAACACTATGCGCCTGGCGGCACAAAGTTCGAAAAAAAGCTAATTTTAGCGTAAAGGTCAATATCAAGGTCACTAGGTCATTGACCTTGGTATCAATTGAAAGAACTTGATTAGTGGAGTAAGCATACCAAATATGAAGTCCCTATCTCTCATGGTTCAAAAGTTATGGTTAAAGTTCAAAAAAGCTATTTTTAGCACATAGGTCATACTCAAGGTCATAAGGTCAATGACCTTGGTGTCATTCAAACGAGCTTAATGAGTAAATAAACATACTAAATATGAGGTCTATCTTTCATGGTTCAAAAGTTATGGCGAAGGTTATAGTTTGAAGACAAAAAAGCTATTTTTAGCGTATAGGTCACAATCAAGGTCACAAGGTCATTGACATTGGTATCGTTGGAAAGAATTTTATTAATGGAGTATCCATACTAAATATGAAGTCTCTACCTTTCATGGTTCAAAAGTTACGGCGAAGGTTAAAGTTTGCAGAAAAAAGCTATTTTTAGCATATAGGTCACTGTCAAGGTCAAAAGGCCATTGACCTTAGTGTTATTTGAAAGATCTTCAGTAGTGGAGTATGCATACCAAATATGAGGTCCCTATCTCTCATGGTTCAAAAGTTATGGCGAAGGTTAAAGTTTGCAGAGAAACAGACAAACAGACAGACAGGACAAAAACAATATACGCCTTGGATCTATCGATCCGGGCGCATAATAAACATAATTTATTATATAGACAGAAAAGATGATGGTTACTAAATGTTCAAAAATTCATTGATGTTCATTTACCTTAAGCTGTTTAAATTTATGTTGCTAATCCATGAACATTTTTGATAACCCCTCGTAGTATAACAGTACAAAAAGTGACATTAAAAGAACTGAAAGCACTTTCTTCTTTTTTCAGACGGACGCGTTTATCTTCATCCTGATTCCCCAAGTTCCGGAGCCCATTGGATGAAACAAGATATTGTTTTCGGGAAATTGAAATTGACCAATAACAGAGCAGTGGATCAGGGGCAGGTCAGCCAGGTATACAACCACGATAGGTCTTTCACAAAAAGAAAGCAGATTTACAATAAAACGACCATTAATTTTTTTTTTTTAATAAAACATGACTTTTTTTTCTAAAATGATGTTTGAAATTTGATATTTTTTCAAAATAATATACTTTTTAATACACGCAATAAAATAAAATGAATAAAGTCTGCCATCCGGATAACAATAGTAAAAGTTGAAATCTTATTCCACCATATCTTTTTGTATTACACTTTACAATTTACTATTTCAGATTATTTTGAATTCCATGCATAAGTATCAACCGAGAATCCATGTTATAGAGGTAGGGTCACATGGCCCAAACGAGCAGAAGAGCTTGCAGACACATGCGTTTCCAGAAACTCAATTTATTGCCGTCACTGCTTACCAAAATACCGATGTAAGTTTCGTTTCCTTTTATATTTTTAGCTCTACTGGTCAGAGACCAGAAGAGCTTGTGGGATAGTAATGCGTCCGGCGTCCGTCCTTCTGTCTGTCCGTCTGTCTGTCTGTAAACAATTTTTCAAAATGCTCCTCCTCCTACAGTTTTGGTCTGATTTCAATATAACTTGGCACACAAGTAGACTACACTAAGGTACATAATTCTGTTTATCGGTTTTTGATTTCGATGAACGGTTTTGCAGTGGTTACTAAAACTAAAAATAGAAATTTCTGTGAAATTCTTTCAAAATGCTACTCCTCCTACAGATTTGGTCTGATTTCAATATAACTTGGCACACAAGTAGACTACACTAAGATACATAATTTTATATATCTGTTTTTGATTTCGATGGTGTTGCCGTGGTTACTAAAAATAGAAATTTCTGTGAAATTCTTTCAAAATGCTACTCCTCCTACAGTTTTGGTCTGATTTCAAAATAACTTGGTACACAAGTAGACTACACTAAGGTACATAATTTTATATATCGGTTTTTGATTTCGATGAACGGTGTTGTCGTGGTTACTAAAAATAGAAATTTCTGAGAAATTCTCTCAAAATGCTACTCCTCCTACAGTTTTGGTCTGATTTCAAAATAACTTGGCACACAAGTAGACCACACTAAGATACACAATTTTTTATATCGGTTTTTGACTTCGATGAACATTATTGCCTTGGTTACTAAAAATAGAAATTTCTGTGAAATTCTCTCAAAATGCTACTCCAAATACAGTTTTTGTCTGATTATAATATAATGTGGCATGCAAGTGAAGTAGACTACACTAAGAACATAAAGAGACTTAATCAAGGATCATTATTCTGTTTATTGCTGTTGTAAAGTTCCAATTCCCAACTGCTTAAGTACTTTTCTCTTCCTTTGCTATAAGTACAAACAAGTAGAGCTTCAGTCTCGACAGAGACTTCTGGTTTAGTAAGTATTGGAAATTTAGAATTTAAAATGTTCTAGTTTATTTCAATGTGTAAGTATCAAATCGTAAAAAAATATTTATCTATTTTGATATACAATTAGATATGTTGACGACGTAATTGTCAATTAACAAGGGTAATTGCGTAGACCCTAAGGTTCATGCAGAAAATATATAAGCGAGGTTAAACCGGATGCCACGGGCAAACATGAGGCTATGTATGCTCGAGAATTCTAGAGAGTTCGCCTGTAAACTTGCTCGTAAAATAATTCGCCATTCGAATTAGAATATGCCATTCATTGGCAAATCTCGCTTTTAAATCTGCATATAATATTTATTTATCTCAGATGTTATATATAAAATAACGCTTGATATTAGTTTGATAGGATTTATTTGAAGTTTGGCGTATCTGGTCGCGGTGACATATGACAAATTTCTCGTCTCCCCAACAATAACAACAAATGTGGCGACCCCAAATGGGCTAAATATTGTGCACTGGGTAAATTTCGCAAATGCACAACGCCACGCAAAATGGATACAAATTTTTTAAAATATCGATCCAAAATTGAAATGATTGTATCGCCTGAACCAACCTACCCATGTGCTCGTCTGCTTACTTAGAAAGGAGGAAATTACGTCACGTACCAAGTATATATAGTCACTGTGGCATTTCTAACAAAAAAAAAAAAAAACTGGTATGCACAACCCGGATTATTCCGCGAAGCACATACTCAATCTAAAATGGGCAATGCACATGTATCACTGAGATAAAATCCCATATTCCTTGACGTTGCTTGAATATGGGTTAATATTCATTGGCGGATCCCAACTTCTCTCTTATCCATGGGCAAATACAATTTACTATCATCGAAGCAAATGCTGACGGATGTTTTTATACTATTTGTTAGTCCATTATTCATACACTGAATTGACGACGGATTTTACCGTTATTTCCCGATCACGACAAGGAACACACGACGGGTGTGACCGGTCGACAGGGGATGCTCACTCCTCCATGACACCTGATTCCACCTCTGATGTTTTGGAGGTTCGTGTTTGCTCTTGAGTGGTGTTCGTTATCTCCATATGTTTCTACATACTGTTATTATACTGAACACCTCAACTGCCTGATACATAGAAACCATTAATTTATCTCATATTCATTATATGCTGGATTTGCGTTTTAATGAGTATTTAAGGATTAGCTGTCTATTTTTTTTTTTTTTTGTTTCATGATTGGATCAATCGATTGGCTTGCTTGATGATTTGCATGAACATTTATGCATAAAACTATGACACAAGCTAATCGATTGATCATCGTCATGAAATAAAAAAAATCTGACAGTTATTCTTTTATTCTCTTGATTCCACAAATTCGCGTGCTACAAGCCCCGCTTCTGTGTCTATATATTCCCCGCCCGCTTGATTTTTTTTATCACGCCTATCGATTAGCCAACACATTTATGTAGAAATAAAGTATTTTACACTTTGTAATTTTATCTCGGACCAAGACATTGGAAATGTAAATATATGGAAATAAATATACAACTACTGATTCATTTAGGGAACGCATCAACTGCATTTTTAAAATGACATAATTTAATGTTTTTTTTTTATATTTTATTAAGTATAATGTGCTTTAACATTTACTGATTTACTTTGACATTGTATGAAAAGTTCCAGCTTATGATGTCAAAGTGTCAGCATAAAACTGTTTATATCATGATCATTTGAATATTATGCACAGAAGGCCAAACGAGGCGTTCCATAGTTTCTATTCAGAAGAATATTTATACGTTAAAAAATAACACATACGACGTGTGCTCATAAGCATAGGCGCTTGGTTTCAGGATGGTGTATTTTGTGTATTACGCGTTTTTCTAGGTGTGTCTGAATACCCTCATCAAAATAAAAAATTGATGTAAAAATCGGGAAATATATAAAGTAAACAATGGAAAAATCATCAAACCGCTTGGACGTGTGTGAAATGGCATGCGTCTAATTGATGGAGACGATAGTCGTGAATATTTGGAAAACTTATGGTCGGATAAATGTCAAACAAAAACGATACCATTTTAAACTTCAATTCCTCGAGTAAACTTTGGCTGCATAAAATATAAATTGAAGTTAGACACATGCATCACCTATATTCAAATGTATTTAATTTTCAATTTTATAATATAAAATACGAACTGTGCAGAGTACGTTTTTATGCGAGAAGTAAAATTCGATGTTCCAAAAAAAAGGGACCTGTCATTTTTTCGATAGTAAATGATATACAACTTTATATATTAACTATGAAAACCATATATATTTTTACAGATTCACTTTATGGAAGTAAATATATTATGTATCTCGTAATTTATAAAGGGAAAGAACATTCTGATTAACAGTCTTTTCATTGTTCAGAAAACCTTTATTCTGAATATAAAAATCCCCATATACCAACACCTAAACTTATATGTATAGAGCAGCCCGGTCCTCCGGGCTGCAATAAAAAATCATTGAAATTAGCACGTATTAAAATGTCATATTTACTGTATATAAAAAGAGTACATAGGCGCTTGGTTTCAGGATGGTTTATTTTGTGTATTACGTGTTTTTCTAGGTGTGTCTGAATACCCTCATCAAAATAAAAATTAAAATTCGCTGAAATTAGCACGTTTTAAAATGTCATATTTACTGTATATAAAAAGAGTAAAGGAGCGTCACTTTCCATCTTGAAAATCAGGGGATACCTCGATTCACACTTAATTTTCATCTGTATCTACATTTTCCCTAACGGTGATTAGAAACGGAGATTAGAAAGACGCAAAGAGAAACATCCCGACACTGTCACTCCGCCTCCACCAAAGGCCTTTGTTCCCAATACATGTTGTTTGTATGCAAAATTTGGGTGTCTCCATACCCTAACCCTGCCGTCTACCGGGTAAAGCAAGAATCGACTTTCATCTGACAAATGTATCCTTTGCCAGGACCGAATGTTCCACCTCCTATGCTGTCGTGTCCATTGTAATCTTGCTTCTTTGTGTCTCTGGGATGAGAGGGGACGTTTTATTGGCCGACATAATCTTATCCGTTCCTTGTTTAGCATCCTTTTAACTGTGCTTCTGCTGATTCGAGCTTAGGTGTTCCATTTGCTTCTCAGCGTGTCTGCAGTATCAAAAGGACTCTGTTTAGCTAGTCGTTTTAGAAGTCTATCTTCCCTTTCTGTATTCTTTCGAGGTCTTCCAGATCTTGTGGCTTCTTCCACACCCCCAGTTCTTCTCCAGCGCTGTACCAGATGCAATATTACAGTGTGACTGACATTAAGGTGTTCGCCGACCCTCCTATACGTCATTCCAGTTTTTAATATATTCGATCAATTCATACTATTAATGCAAGATATAACTGTTTTACAGTGTGACTAGATACAACATTATTGTTCATGATTAAAGTTGTGTATTTCATACGTAAAGAAATCAAAAATAACGTCAAAATATTATTAGAAAATCACTTTCCCCCCGAAATGCAAATAAAAAATATCAATATTCCTACGCTCCTCCTAGCCTTTTTTTTTTTTTTTACATGTTTGATAATAGAGAATATTTAGGTCATTCTTCCATATTTTTTCACCGATGAATTTAATACTATATCAACAATTGTATTAAGTACATGTTTATAGTCTGTTAATTATCATACAATTTCCTTTTAAGAAAAAATTAATCATTCTGTGTGTGTATATTATTAAATGACGGAATTTTCAATCCCTGGCTGGATTCTGCTCACGTGTGTACACTTTGTAAACAATGTGTAGCAAACCAGCATAGGCCTACATTTTATATAGAACTTGAATAATGTTTTTAATTTCTGCGACAAATACATTAATTAGTATATTTCAGTAATTTTCAAAACAAAAACGGTTTTCAGTTTAGAATGGTCTTGATTTTCCTAACACGGCCATTTTAAACACAAGTTGTTGCAGATGCAAATGTTAGAACAAACTATATATAGTTCAACAGGGATTGTATAATTTTTATTAATCAGAATTCATAT